AATAAGAATAATGAGTCACTATCTTATCTAATGAAATTGAAGATGAGAAAAGATAGATATTTCATAAATGATGAAAGTCTTAAATGTTCTTTTTCGACCAAACTTCACGTTCACATAATTCAACAGCCTAGAAAAAAAACGAACAAAACATCATTGTTAATAAACATAAACTTGTTTTTTCTCACATTGCATAATTTAGCATTTTCATGAGATGTACACCAATATTTCATGCCAAATATACATTTACCATATCTTGTTGGTGTTGAACTTGTTGTCGATTTCTTAGTTATAGAATCTTGACACATTCCAAGATAACGACAAATTGTATCTGGATCGGCTGATTGAGCAATTAATTCGGCAATAACAGGTCCATAAGTTTTAATAAGTTCATCACATTCTGTACGTTCTTTACCTAAAGGAAAGAAAATTCAATATTGACATTTTTTTTTTGTTTCACAATAAAACTTACTTGGCAAAATAGTGCATACTTTTTCTAATGCTTCTTCAATAGCTTCTTCTGATTTATTATTTTTTAAAGCTGCATCCAAATATGAAATAACATACTGACATATTGTACATTTTGGAGTTGAACTTAAATTGTCAACAATCCAAGGCTCTTCAATTGAATCAGTTTTATCTTCCTTTTTGATTGATATTGCTGGTTGTAATTCGATCATTGGTGTTTGACATATGGTTAATTGTTTACAAAAATTATTTCCTGGACTTAATTCTAATTGTTGAAACTGTGGTGAAAATAAATTAACTATGGTTTGACATTTTGAATATTCTATATCAGTTAATAAATGTGAACAAACAGTTGACAATGCATGTTGAAGAGATTTTTCAGATGAATCACGTTTAAGAGCAAAATGTATATATGTTGATATATAATCACAAATACCACATGTTGATGGATTTGCTTTTATTATATGTGTTATATCAAATTTCATTTGATTTGTACATAAATTAAGTTTATGACAAATTGTTGAAAGATCAAATTCTTGAAGAAGTGTTGTAATTATTAATGGACTATAATTATAAATATAATCATGACATTGATTTTGTAATATGGATGGCATTAAATTACAAATTTTTTGTAAATTTTCTTCAATATCTTTTTCAGTTGATTGACGATTAATATAATTTGAAAGAATATTCATTATATATTCACATAGAATACATGTAGAATTTGAATCATCAATTGGTTTTATTTCTTTAATTTCTGTTTCACTTGAATGAATTGATTCTTTACATATTTCTTGAAAACCTTGCATTTGATTACATAATACTGTTTTATTACAAAAACCAAGATGAATACAAACTCGTTTTGGACAAATATGATCAATACGTGAATCAAATCGTCTTTTAGCCATTCGCCAATATCGACGACATTGATATTGAGCTGGACAATTTTTACATGAACGAATTAAAGCGATAAAGATTTTGTCACCGATAAATTTAGTATGTCGTTTTCGTCGAATTATTCGAAAGATACAACGTTTGCATTTATCTTGTTCGGGTTCATCTAAATAATACAAAAAAAAAACTCTCATCATCAGACTAACATTTTTTAAATATAAGCTATCCGTAATATCCACAGTTCGAGATATTCGAACTTTAACGTATTTACAGTATATAAAGTGTTTCACGAAAACGGCCTAACATATTATTATTTTTATATTTAATATTAAGCATACTTTTTTCTCATACAATTCGACCTGTGTCGGAAATGTGTAGGACTCAATTTTTAGGTGATCTCAATTCTGGTTATTTCCGGATATATCTAGATCATGTAAGTCAAGACCAACTTATATTTTAAATTCGTTAGTTTACTAGCGAAAGACTTAATGTGATCCGAATATGTCTAATCTGATAAACTAATAATACAAACACCTATCTTTAATTTTGAGTATTATGAAAATAGAAACGATGAAAATTTATAAGTTATTTTAATCCATTTGCCAGATGATAACTATTCATCAGATTTTAATGTGTTGAATTTTGTTCTGCAATTCATCTACGAGACACTCAGATTGATTTATTTTATAAAAGATTTGTTCCATATTTTGTTAAATGAAATCAAATAGTTATTTTTTTCTTTTCTATGAAAATCTATCCATAAAAAAAAAAAGAAACGTAAAACTTACCAAGATCTTTTGAATCAGATAAATCTTCTGTTAGTTCTTCATCAATTTTCATTAAATCTTTAATATCATAATTTATCTTTAATTTTTGAATTTTTTCTGTATCTCCATGCATAACACTTGTACATAATGTTTCAAATGGACCAAATTTTGAACAAATATTTTTATCAATTTCATCTTCTAAATATTTTTCAAATGTATTAAAATCGATATCATTTTTAATATTATCTATTGTACAAAAACCAATTAAATTACAAGTTTCTTTTGGATTAAATTCTTCAAATGATATTTGAATTAAATCATGTACTTGTTGAATATATATTTGACATTGTTTTTCAGCATTTAATTGACAAAGATCATTAAAATATCCAGTAAGACGATCAATAGCTTGTAAAATTCCATCTTTTCTTAATTGTAAATGTTCAATACATGTTGAACATTTATTATTTAAAGATATTGAACAAAGATGCATTGATTGACAATATTGTTCAGGATTAATATTATCTAAATAAGATTTAACATTATCAAATCGTTGATTAATAAAATTTTGACATTGATCTTTTGATGAAGACATTTCACATATTTTAAGTAAAATATTACGAACTATTTCCTATAAAATAATAAATAATAGTTTGATTTTGAAAAAAAAATTTACATTTTTTTTTCTATTGTTACTTACTAATTCATTTATTAGAAAATCTTTTGATGATTGAATAGTAATTTTACATTGATCACATGTATCTATATTTTGTTTTTGTAATTCATTATCAAGTAATTTTGGATTATTTTTTAATAAAGCCATATAAATATTAACATAACGAGTATTTTCTGTTGATGTCATTATATGTTTACATATAGATTTGAAATTTCCAAAATCCGAACAAAGATTATCAGAAAATTTTTCAATAGTTAAACCAAAATTAAAAGTAGATGTAGGCATTAATTTATAAGGCAATGGATTTGATCGTAATGAAGTTGTAGATGAACAAAGATTAACATGTTGACAAAATCTTAAAGAATTTATTTGATTTATTTGATTTAATGTTTCTTGATAATTAGATTTAATTAATAAATGACATTCATTATTATTACATGAAGAATCTATAGTTGTTCTTATTTCATTAATTATTTTACGGAAATTATTTTGACGAAAATTTATATGATTTTGACAACATTTACATCTATCACAATTCATAGTACACTAAACGTAATTTTTATTAAAGATTATGATTTTGAAATTATATAAAATAAATAATGATATCACTTACTTCTTCAGGAGTTGCTGAACAATGACTTAAGAATTGACAAATTCGCTCAGCATTCTATTAAAAAGTAAAAATAAAGACATACATTATTGATATATGATTACAGATCGCATTATTAATAATATTTATTACTTTTCTTATTATATTATAGAAGAATTAAAAGTAAGAAGAGAATGAAAAAAATGTATACAACAATCTGTCTCTAATTAGCAACAGCATATGTCACATTTTAATCTCCTAGGAATTAGTCTTTAAACTGCAAATCATTGTTAGAAACTATTTCTAGTAAACTTTAATTCAAGGAGATCATAACCTATGGTACAAAGTCTTAACTCCAAATATTCGCTTATTGTCCGGCCATTGAAAGACAAATGGTTAGAGTCAAAAATAGAATTTTTTGCTCTTTTCAAATTTAACTTCGTATTTTCCTTTTGAGACAAGATTTAATAAATATTCTTTCGATCTCTACGCTGGATAAAACACTAATTGTAGAGCATTCAATTCTGTACAAAATGAGATATTACTATAAACGAAATCTCATCTCTATGTTTCCATTAAGAAGCTAATTTCTAAGGAAATCGATATTGACTAAAATAATATTTTGAAATAATCTAATGAAGAAGGTTGTTCAGTCTTATTTCAAAAGTCAATCCTAAACATATATGCAGAGTCTAATTCAAACTAACCGCATCTAGGCTCTAACCAAAGTAGCCGAAAAAATACATGAGAGAATAGTTTGTGATAAGATTTTTGCACCATAGATTAGTAAACTTTAGAAGCGTTTTACTATTTGAAAATATGTCTATAAGAAAAAAACAATATTCTTGACAAGGAACTCGTTTTGTTTTTTTCATTATTATCAATTCCATTCAAATACAAGATGGAAATAGTAGAAGAATTACTTACAAAACCATTAATTGTTTCATCAATAGTCGATTTAAATTCAGCAGCAACTTCACGACACTAAAATATAAAATCAAATTTTTTCTCGATCTTAATCTCAAATATCTTACATCTTCTGAATCTGGTATATATTCACATATAACATTTGTAGTTGTCAACATAGTTTGCTAAAAAAAAAAAACGAAATTTTCAAAAATATAAAATTTTCATTTATAAAAACAAAATATCTTACTAAAAATGAAGCTAATTGTACTTGATAATTTTCAATTTTACTCACACAACATTCACATTTATCATTACACTAAATAAATATAAATGAAAAAAAAAAATCTAAAAAAAAAATTTTTTCAATTTACATTTTCAAATGCAGTAGTAGTTGGACATGCATCAATTACATTACAAACTCTATGTGGATCTACATATCTAGCAATAATAGCAAAAAGATTTGCACCTTCAGATTCGATTACATTAGTACACTAAAAAGACAATAAAAAAAAATGATTCTCTTGATTTTAAATTTTACATTTACCAATTTCGATAATGGTCCAAGTCTAATACAAATTTCATTTTTAATATAAACTATAATTTCTTGCTAAAAATGAATTAAAATTACTTTGTTTTTAAAATAAACAAAAAAAAAATCTTTTCTTACACTTAGGATATTATCCGATGCAGTTATTTGAATTGGTTCTATTTCTTCTAATAATGTTTCATTACACATTTTTAATTCGACACATATATCATGTGGATTCTTTAAATGAAAAGATATTCAAAGATGATCTAATTAAGAAATTCTCATACTAATGATTGAATAAATTGAACAAGTTTATTAATTGATTCATCAACTGTTTTAATACACTAAATATAATTAAACAAAATTTGTAGAAAAAATTAAAAACTAAAGTTTATTTCTTAATAAAAAACACTCAAAAAAAATTTTTATGAAAATTTACTATAGTTTACACTTTAGAAAATTTCATAGAATGAGTTATAATTAGATGAATAATTATCTAATTTTTTTTTTTTTTTATTTTAATTTTCATACTTCATCTTCTTGAGGTAATTGTCCACAAAGATGATGAAGAAATTCTGATGAATAATTCTAAAATTAATTTTATTTTTATTCATATAATAAATATAATTTATTAAACTTACTAAAAGTTTTTCAGCTATATGTTTTCGTCGTGTAAAATCAATAATACATCGTTTACATTTATTTTTATCCTATTATATTGATATGAAATATAAAAATTAAATTATAATAATAATACTTACATCACCAATTGATAAATTATCAATAATTGATGTTTTTGTTGAACATATTCCAAACATTTGACAAAGTACATCACCATCCTAAAAAATATCGTATTTTTATTATTCTTATCATAAAATTTTCTATGAAAAATATTCGAAGATTTAATTTTTAGTATTTAAAGATAGGAAGAATTTAAATGTTAAACATACCAAATTATTAACAAGTGTTTTCAAAAGACGCATAGTATCTTTTTCCATTAATGCATGACACTAACAAAAAAAAAAATTATAAAAATTAATTTGAGACAAAAAAAAATAATTTACTGAATCTTCAAATGGTCCAAGATGATCACAAATATTCTTTTCGAAAAATACACGCATTTCATCCTATAATATATATATTTAATATTTTTAATTATGATCTTTAATATAGATTTACTAACTTTTTGTACTGGACTTTCTTTATCAGTTATTTCATTGAGACAAACTTGAAAATAAGTACAAAGAAGTATTGGTTGCTTAATATTAAAATATGAAATATTTAACACAAAAAAAAAAAAAATTCTTGAATTCTTACTGTTCCATGTTGAATATTATTAATTAAATCTTGTCCATGTGTTTCTATAACATGTTTACAATTTGTCTTCATTTCACCATCCCAATTCGAACATAATTGTTCATCAATATGTGAAAGAATTTTGTCCTTTTATATACATAATATATTATTTGCAAAAAAAACACAAAAGAAATTGATTTTCTATGTTCTTACATCATCATGTTTCGCTTCGAACATGTGTTTAGTGGCTGATAAAATGAATATACATTGTTCACATTGAACATGGGAAGGAGCCTAAATACGATAATTGATATTATTAATATTTGATAGGAACAGCTTACTGGAGTTGTAGTATGTTCAGTAACAAAATCAATATTATCACAGACTTTTGATAATTCCTATCAAAAAGAAAAATTAATTTTATCGATTAGAATTTTTTTTTTGTTTTTCATATTTACCATATTCTTAACTACATATAAATAAATATTATTACCATATCGATCAACTAAATCTTCACACTAGTAAAATAAAATAATTATTATTTTTATTGAATTAAATAGTTTTTTTTTGTTTAACCTTTTGTTTAAGTTCAAAAGTTGATAATTGTTGACAATCATTTTTTAAATATGTTTGAATATCATTTTGACTTTTTTGATGAGTAATATGAAGATCATATGTAGCACGAACAATAACATTACATAATATTTTTGATTGTTCATCAATATCGACTGATTTTATTTTTTCTTCATCAATAGGTACTCGTTGTATAATTGTTGCATCTTTACACATTTCTCCCAAATGACAAATTATACCAGGATCCTATTTTTAATTATAAATTATAGAAAATAAAAAAGACTTATTAACTTACAATATTATTATTGATTAAAATCAAAATTTCTTTTACATATTGATTCATTGTTTGTACACACTAAAAATAAAATCAAAAAATCACTTGATTATGAAAATTATTCATTACTTTATCGATCATTTCTTGTGTTTGTAACATTAAACAAGTCTCAGATAACCATTTTTCAACATTAACCTATATAAAAATGAAAAATAGAATTTCAATATTTTCTTCTAGTTTAGTTTTTTTTCTTCTTTAAACATACTTCTATTTTACTATCTTTTATATTATTACGTAATTTTTTTATAATATATTCACAATATTGACAAACATTATCATTTTCTTTTTTTATAATTGTTTGTTGTGACCAAATTCGTTCTGAACAAAAATCAATCGAATTACATTGATGTGTATTACTCAATGATGAACACCAATATGATGGACCCCATGTACATTGATCATGTCCAAGAATTATTGATGGTGGTTTTTCAGTAATTATTTCACTAGTACAAATACCCATCAAATGACATAATGTTGCATAACGCTACAAGATAAAAATAATTTAATTATTTTATAATTAATTTTATTTACTTGATTTTTCATCAATGTTATAACTGATTTTCCATAATTTTGAATGATATTCACACACTAAATAAGTTAAAACAATCTAAGAAACATGTTTGTTTTTTTTTGTTTTTAGTTACTTTTGTTGAAAGATCATTTGGTAATAATGATTTACATTCACTAGTTAATGTGAATATCATAGCATCCTAAATAGTAAATAATTTTTATATTAAAATTTATTTAATAGAAAATTACAAACTTCACTATCAGCTAATTCTTCAAATCCTTTATGAGTATTTTTAAAAATTTTTTGACAAAATTGACATGTTGTTGATGAAGCAACTAATTCATATTTATTATCATGACTCCAAACTGTATCAGTACAATGTTGTATTGAACCACAATCTTGTGCATTTTCAAATGATTTACACCAATATTCAGGTCCAACAATACATTCTTGTGCATAACCAATTGTTGAATCGATTGATAAAACTTAAAAATAAATAATAATATACTTTTTTTTTCTTATTTTTCGATACAAGAAATATCTTACCAATTAAATAAATGACGAATAATATTTTCGTCATAATACTACTTACAGGAATAAAATTAAAGAAAAACAAACGTATATCAATATCTAAAAATATACTGAATAGATTTCGTTGATTCAAATGAAGAAAAAATAAAAACAGTATTAATTATAATGAATAACTATTTCTATACATTTGTTGTTTTTTTCCCTGTCACGGCTGAAAGAACACCGTTATTTATAAGTAATATGATGACTCAAAAGAAAAAAAAAAGAAATAAACCAAGAATGATTAAAAACAACAATTTACGTATGTTTATTAGTGATTACTAAATGTTAGAAATTTCATTTTGAAAAAAGAATGATAATACTTAACAGCTGTTCATGATGACACTTAGCCAAGGAAAAAAAAATTATTATATTCGTAAAAAAAACAAATCAAAATTTTCAACTAAAATATTCGATGTCATCAAAAGATGAGTCATACTCATACAATACTTACTTATTAAATGTCAGTTAAAAAGATTAATATCATTGTTGAAAACAAGAATAGGATCGAAATAAGTTTTTTTTGTTTTTTCTTTTCTTCAATTTATTGGTTGAATTTGGTATGATAATATTTCATAGACAGTCAGATATATCCTCATATTTTGTTTGCAGTTATTTCAGGCGACATTTGTTTTTTTTTCAGTGTATGCAAAAAAAAACGAGGAAAGAAAAGGAGAGAGAAAAGAAAAAAGGATTGATCACAAAAGCGTAAGCAACTGGCAATGTAATAATTCAAAACAAGGCACACCTATTACTCTAAACTAGCTTGATATGTTTTTATGATGAAAGGAAAAGAAAAAATTGCGCATAAGTAAAAGAATGACTATGTTTCTTTTTTTAAATTTTTATGCTAAAACATGGAGCAGTAATAAATATATTGTAATTTAAACTCTATGATCTTTTTTAAACAACAAAAAGATATAAAAATATTTAGACGAATCTTTTCAATCATTCATAATCAAAGTTCATGCTGATTTGCAAAAAAAAAGAAATTATTTTTTGTCTTTGTTAAATTGAACTTGAATATAGAACGTATGTTTTTTTTGAAATAGATAGATACTAATCTATTCATATGTATATTTTAAGATTTGCATTGATTTCTTGAATATTATTTGTGATTAATTGTCTAGATCAATATGATTCATATTTATTATAATTGGATAAAAAATATTATATTCTTTTATCATTTTCGTATAGTTTATTTAACAATAGTACATTTTCTATAGACATATTATCCTTACATTTCGGTGTAGGGTAAAGGTTAGTAGGTTCAATAAACATAAAAAAATAAATAAACGTTCTTTTTTTTTATTGGATTTTTAGTTCTTTCGTCATTTCGTACTAGTGTATGAGCCTATTATTTGAATGTGACCTTCAATCCACCCACAAGGGTAACAGTACGATTATATTCATTGTTTTCTAGAAAATATTCGCACCCGACGTTCCTGCCAGTTCTTTGAGATTACTTAGGAATTTTCTTTTACATATGATTAGTAATTTCTTGTACGTTAAAACTTCTTGCACAATTTGAATGAGTATACGTATTGTTCTGATTACCTCGAAGCACTTTTAGCATTTTGATTTTAGGTACATTTATTCTTTATTTTGCTATGTGACATATACTAGTCATTGAAATATTGAAAAAGAAAATCTTTATCATCATATTCTACTCATTTGCAAAGCTCGATAATGATCGAATTCAATTATGAATTCTTTTAAATATATTTCTCTATGAAATATTTTAATAGTTATATTATGAATTATCGAACTATTTTATTTCATATAGATGTGCATATTTACAAATGATGAAGAATAAAATTTCACAAAATCAAAATAGTTCTTCTAAAGTAATGTTCACTTTTCATATATGAATATACTTATATGTAATGAAAAAGAAAAAAATAATAAGACTATCTGAACTTTATGCGAATGCATCAAGTATGAGAATTTTAATTATTTAAGATGAACCGGTATAAATAAATAAAAAATCAATAATGTAATAATAAAATATCCAATAATTGATGTTAGTGCAATTAGTTGAATTCGTTTTTCTCCATGTGGAATTCTAGTTGTAATAAATGCTGGCATATCACACAAAAATATAGCGACTAAAGTACCCATAACTGCACCACCAATATGTGCTGCATGGTCAACATGACCCGAAGAATCAACATCAAGAAATATACTCAATATAAAATATGGTATAACAAGAAGTGTTATTAGAAATTGAATGATTTTGTCTTGTATATTCGTAATAGTAAAAACTCTTAAAGTATTATCAATGATACAGAAGAATAAAAGACCATAAACTGCACCCGATGCTCCTACAGATACTAAAAAAAAAAGCAAATATTAATCAATTTAGTGAATCGATACGGACATGATCATTTTACGTACTACTCTTCGGATTACACAATGAACTCATAACATTTGCACTAAAGCCAAATAAAATATAGCATATTGCTAATGTTTTTTTACCATATTTTCCTTCCAAAAGAGTACCAACCAAAGCTTGATAAACGAGATTACTTAAAAGATGAGTAATATCACCATGAAGAAATATTGGAGTAATAAATCGAAAAAATTGATAAGGAAAAAGAAAAGATTGACATTGAGATTTAAGTCCAACATTATATATTTCTTGTTCTGCTTTAGAATATAATGGTTTCATACAAGGCACATATTTGCAACCCATTTTAATCCAAGTTTCAGATGTTATTATTGTTCCTTCTTGTACAATATATAAAACAATAAGTACTAATATATCAAGTACTCCAATTGCAAGTGTAAATATTGGACAATGTGGTTCAAGTGATGATGGTGTTACATGAAAATCATGTTCTGATTGATCAATTTCTATTAATAAATCTTTACTATAATTATGTGTATCAAATAGATTAGATGAATCAGAAGAAGTTGAATGAACATATGATGTTAATTGTTTTTGTGGTGAATTAAATTTTTCTTTAATTTTTATGCACATCGTTTTAGTATTTATCGGCATTGAATTGTTTATTTTCTAAATAGGGAAAAAAAAAGTAGATATAAAATATTCTTTTTTTTTTTCTATAATAAATTTTCTATTTAAAGTCAAAAGAATTGAAATATGATTTTAGTTTTATCTTAATCGTTTCTATATTATTTACTTTTATTATGCTTACTTGATAAGTCCAAATACAGCTACATTTACTCGTTTTCGTCTACAAGCGTCCTTCCTTACTAATAGTCACATTTTATGTGTGTGTGTGTTAGTGTTTCTTTTTTCTTTTCTTTACTTTTTTTGCTAATTATCATGTGACTTCGAATTTATGCTGTTTTACTTTACGCCTACGATACGATTTTCGCTTTTGTCTCTTTTGTTTTATTAGACATGTCTGACGTAATCCAATTCGAAGAAATATCAAACGATATATTGGTCTATACAGGTTGTAAATGATGAAAAAAAGAGTTAATTCAGTTCACTTACAAAAGATATCATATCTCAAATAAATTGATATATGACAGAAAATAAAAATATAATCGTATATAAATATTCAAATGATAATGATAACAAATATGCAGAAGTTTATAATATTATTCAATTGTTGTTAATAAAAAGGAAATTTTCTTTTGATATTAACAATTTGATTACTTACTGTTATTTCACAAAATTTTGCACTGTCATTAGAATGATATGGATATTATTTTTTTTTTTTTCTTTCTTCATTTAACCTTTATTACTAAAGGTAAATATAGTTTTACTCTTAGTTTAGATAATATTTTTTTTAGTACACAAAGGATGATCATGATTTTATAATTAATATACATAGAATGAAAAAAGAAAAATCTAAGCATTATGATATACCTTAATGACAAGAAAATAAAAATCGAAATTATCCTTAAAATTCAGTTATTAAGTAATAAACTACGAAATTATGTATAATAACAGAAAAATGTCAACATTTTTCGAATTCGTCTTTGACACGTATGACAATAACTTACGAATGTAGACAACAACAAAAAAAAAAGATTGATTATAATCGTCTAATTATTGTTCTCTATCTTCAAAAAATTACAGATAAATAAAATGAATCTAATGTCATACATGTCATAATAGGAATGTGAGTATAATATGAATATATAGATGTTTAATCGAAAAATTGCTCATTATATATAAATATATTTATTACTTGATTTTATAATTGAATATTTCTATATTTATGTGAAAGAATACGAAGAAACAAAAAAAAAAACTTAAATTCCTTAGTAACCTTAAAAAATAAATCTTATTTATCATTTAATGTCAATACATTATGGTGTTTCATGTGATTTATGTCGAAAAATAAATTTTTCTGGTCGACGTTATAAATGTTTAATATGTAATGATTTTGATTTATGTGAAATATGTTATGATAAAAAACACTATCTATCTATTAAAAAACATTCTATTCAACATCCAATGCAACTTATAATAACAAAAAATGATTTTGAATATATTTATTTTGGATATAAATATATAGAATATTCTTTATTATCATTAACATGTTGTTATTGTAATAAAAATGGTTTTGATTTAAATTTTTTAATTAAACATATTAATGATAAACATAAATTATTAAAATATTCTGTTTTATGTCCTATTTGTTTTATTCAAGAAAATAATCTTATTGAACATCTTGAAAAACAACATAGAAAAGAAAATTTTAATATAAAAACAAAAATATTTAAACAAATAAAAATTTTTAATTCTAATGAAAAAAAATCTATTGAACAATCTTTATTAAAAAAATTAATTAATAAATATCAAATTAATAATAATAATGAACAACGAAATTTATTTATACATTCTTTACTTACTGATTTAATTAAGCCAAAAATCTTTTAATAATAATAATAATAATATATAAATAAATTTGATAGATAAATTAGTATAATAAAATCACTATTCATATTCAATTTGATAAAGGAAAAAAAAAAAGAATTCTTTATAAATTTGTTTGAATAAATTTGATATTGATCATTGTTTGATTTATTCTAAGAAGCAAAAAAAAACAACAAAAGATTATTTTTTTAGATAAGAAATAATGTGTGTCTATTAATATCAATGACTCTGTGTTTATGTTTCAAAAATAATTTTCATTAGAAAGATAGAGACGGGCAAATTCTATCACTCAAAACGCCACTAGCGTGTCATTGAAGCATGGCCAATGTTATTGATTTAGCTTATTCTCACCAATCAGGTAAAATTTTATTAAGCAATATTTGCAATACATTCTTCATTCTATTTTGACATTATCGTTTGGTAGGAAGAAAAAAAATGTTTTCGTTCGATCTTCCTTTGTTTACATGCTATAAAGGTTTTTTTTGAGGAGAACACATCTTCAACTAAACTCAAAATAGTAAATTACCAATCTTTAAATCTTTTTCTCAACGATTAGAAATCAATATCTGAGGTGTCAGAAAAATCTTGATAATTCGTAAACGAGAATTAAATGAAGTACATATTGAAAATATTCTCTGCAAAAAATTTCGCCTGTTTAATTAACAATGTTTTTATAGCGTCCGTCCCTATCTTGATGTCCTCGTGTGAATGATAAAAATCTCAGATATCTATCTTCGTTGTAATGAAAGTTATTCGAAAGAAAAAATAGGCATGATCATTATATCATTAGACAAACAGTAATTTGTATTTCTGTTCGAAAAACAAAAACAAAACTCTACTAATTGTTGTATCTTTACAATAGTTGATCGTTTTTTTTTTGTCTTCTTGAACGAAGAGTTCAAAGACAATTCTTTTTCATCGATAAGACCTTTTTATTTTGACAAGTAATAACACTCAAGTTAATTACTATAGAAATATTTTTTTCCGTTCGATTTTATTCATAATAAAAATTGAGAAAAGATTTTCATTAATAAAACGAATATTTTACTGATTAACATTTTCGAAAAAGAACGATTTCTAACCCAACAAGAAAAATAAAAAGATTTAAACTTATCAAACAAATAAATCTCGTTATGAAGGATGAATGTGAGTGTAGACTAAAAATTCTCAACTACTTTCTTCAAGTCAATATGCATATCATAAGTATCAATACTTCCGTTTGATTTAAGAAACTGTGTATATTTGAACGGAAACCTTTTTAATAAACAGAACAAATGCTTACAGGAGAGTAGTTTATTTTTTTGGCTTCTTTCTATCACCTTCTCTTTCAAGTGAAAAAAAAAGTTTTAATAGAAAGAATACTCTAAAGAATATATTTTTCAACAATTCTAGTCAAAAATCAACAGTATAATGTTTTTTTCTTTTTTTCGTTTTTTGTAAATAAAAATAAACTAGACAGTCAAAATTCCTATACGAACTTGTTTATCTTGCATATAAATAAAAGACAGAAAAATATGACTTTGTTATCGCACATGGCATTCTCTGATAAGTTATTTTTCATATTCAGCTTATGTTTTTTGTCATTGGTATTTTTTCGACTCATTGACTTTTTAAGAGCAGTAAAAGAAAAGGAAACAACTGGCGTAAGAAGCAACTCAATATAACAACGTGTTAACTTTGTAGTAGTCATCGAATAATTACTAATATTTTTGCTGAGATAGGATTATGTACTTAACCTGATAGACTATATCAAAAAATGTCTCTCATCAGTTCAAAATATAAATATTTTTACGAAACTTTGAAAATACAGCTTTCAGAAGGGAGACTTTCTTCTTTCAGTTGAAGTCTCGATTAGATATTCATAATTCTATCTCTTGTTTGATGTTATTAGGTGTATTTATTTTTATCGGACGCCAAAAAAAACTTAGATTAATTATTTGAGAAATTTGATTTTGAATTTATCTCAAAAGAATAAGCATTTCCTATTTCGAATACAAAAATTTTACTTACTGCTTATATAAGTAAGAACCACATTTCTTCTTATTACATCATAATTGTTCAAACAAAATCTAAAAATTATAAAGAAATCTTATTTCTTATTTAGTTAAATCTCATCAATATATATGTATATTGATAAAGATTACATGATAATAATGTTAGTTTATCATTTTTTTAATTCAAATATTTCAAAAAAGAAAAAAAAAAACTTTTTCTTATTGAATTTCCATCACATAGATAACCAATAATAGTTAAAATAAGTTCATATATTAGAATAAATTTTTGTATGTTGAGAAATAATAATAAGATAGTGAAATGAAATAAACTTTTATTTTCATAGATAAGAGAAGAAATTATACTTCTTATCATGCAAAAAAACATTTACTTATATAGGATTGAAGGTAACAAAATATCGCAAAAGAAAAAATAAGGTACATGTTTTTGTCTTTATCTCTCTCATGAAAATAGAAATGACATTAAATAAATCTACGAAAAAAAAAGAAAATATAAATTTTTGGAGAATAACCTTTGTATAACTAAATCTCACCTATTCGATACTTAATTAGTACTCTACTTAATAATTAGATGATAAAAAGTACATTATTAATACAATCGGTTAAGTTAACATAGATACATATTGAATGGATGAATTATTATCAAGTGAAAAAAAACATATCCTTTCGAAACAAGTGCATCTATTAATAATCTTTCGAATAATATGAAATTTTATTTTATTTGAAATATATATCTTTTTCTCTTTATTAAAGTCAAAAATGAAAAGTAGATGTCAGTGTATTACAGATTTTCTAGGTCAAGAAAACGATGAACATGAACTAGCAAAAAAGCCGGCTAATCGATTGCTTTAAACATCAATACGCGATTTTCTATAATTTGAATAATTTCTTTGGGTTAATTAATTTAATGCTTTTAGTCGAAAAAAAAAGATCCTGAAGATATATATTTGTATTTTCTTCAACCGAATGAATAACACAGAAATCAAAATTCTGATTGATTGGTGATTTCTAGAGAGCTGCGGGTCCATGTTTTTTTGGACCCGGGCCCCAGAAAAACTAAATTTTCAGACCCGGACCCGGCTGAGTCTAAACTCGGACCCGACCGGGTCTAGACCCGATCCTTTTTTCACCAATATTTGGCACCCTATGTGTACATGAACAGAAAAGGGAACACAATTTTAGCTCTTTATTGGCGACTTTAAAGATAAAGTGAGTGTAAAATTATTTCTGACTGTTTCTTTTTCAATTTTTTTTGACTTCAATTGTTATTGTTATATATTTCCATTCATAACTTAATGCAGACCGAGTCTGACTTTTCTCTTAGGTTTAGACCCGGACCCGGGCCCGGGTCTGGAAGGACCCGCAGCTCTCTAGTGATTTCACAATCATGAAACTTTGGAATATTTTTCTTTTTGTAAAGTTATATCATTCATATTCTTTCAATCACTAAATCTTCAAATATAGAAAACTTATTTAACAGATTTATAGTTATTTAAATTCGAAATAAAGATTTAGTTATAGATATTTCTAACAAGTGAGCATCTATTTTCGTCATAAAAGAGAAAATTATTCATATTTATTTGAACGATTAAAAATCAATCGATTTCTTTATTAATATGTAAAGTTTAATATAAAAACAAAAAAAAAAAGATAATTATCCTGTAATCTATACAAATATTAAATAGAAAATACAAAATAACTCATTGAGAATAAAATAGTAGCATATGATATTTGAAATTTATAAGATTTACTAACACCTAAAAAACGATTTCGTTTTGTACAATAAGTTCCATTACAACATCCAATTGTATTTGTTGGAGAACAAACATAACCATATTGACTAATACATGTATTTGTACATTGTTCAGCATTAGCACAAATTGATGTTGTATAATAAATTCTTGAACCACATTGACATTGACATGTTGGAATAAAACCTTGACAATCACTTCCACAACAACCACGAGTATTAGCTATATTACATTGACCAACTAATTCTAAACATGCTTGAACACATTGTTGAGCTGAACCACATGACATAGGTAATGTTGTAAATACATTTGTACCACACATACAAGTACATGATGGAAATACATTAATACAATCATTTCCACAACATGATTGAGTATTATCTTGTGTACATGCACTATAAGAATTAATACATGTATCAGCACATAATAGACTATTTTGACATGGAACAGAAGTTATTGTTCTAAATTCTGGACCACAATTACATGCACATGTTGGTATATATGATGAACATGCTGCACCACAACAACCTTGAGTATCACTATAAGTACAATCACCATAAGTCTAAATTAAAAAAAAAAAAAACGAAAAATTCATAGTTACAAAAAAAAAAATTTCATACCGTCATACATGTACTAACACATTCTTCTGGATTACTACATTTTGGTGATGGATAATATGTATTTCCTTGACAACGACAAGCACATGCATTAGCAACTGTTTGAGAATATGATCTACAATCTTGTCCACAACATGCTTGTGTTGCTATTGGTATACAAATTTGAGGAAAATTTGATAAACATCTTGTTAAACATGCTTGTGATGACATACATGTATCAACTGGATTAAAATATTGTTGACCAGCACAATTACATAAACAATAACGATTATCAAGTGATTGACTTTGAAAATATTGACATGATGAACCACAACAACCATATGTATTTATAAGTGTACATTGTCCTGGATACATTTGTAAACAATAAGCAATACATGTTTGAGCATTAATACATGTTATTGGTGGTCCAAATGACATATAACTACATGAACATCTACAAGAACTTGGTCCAATTATATCGAGATTATTTTGATAAAGTGGAATATTAGGCATATTACCACCCATATAATCAGGATTGAATGCATAATAAGGATCAATAAGATCACTACCAAGTGCTTGACGTTGTTGTGGTCGTTTTGGATCAATATCTTTTATTTGAGATGGCTCTGTTTCTTCTATAATTAAACATACATATATATATGTATACATTTGTCTTATTTTAAAAAATAAGTCTTTTAGAATATATTTTAATAAAGTTATAAATATATACCTGTTGAAGAAATCACATGAAGTATTAACAATATCACGATAATATATGAAATCATTGTTGTTCATTAATTGTTTATGAAATCGGTACTGTCCTTGTAGAAAACACGTTGAAAGGCTCTAAATCTTCTCGTTCTGTTTCTTTCTTCGACTTTCTCTTTCTTCTTTTTTTTTTTTTTATAACCGTTTGCACAAGCTTGTCAAATAGAAAAAAAACCTTCGAGGACACCGTCATCATTTTATATAATGTCTTCTTGGCTGTTACACATACAGAATGACAGAAATGAAAAAAAAACGATCTCGTAAAAGAAAAAAAAAGAGAGTAACACTCACGCGTTATATAAGAACGAAAGAACCAAAAAAGAAAATGAAAGTACACCATAAGGTAAAAGAAAAAACTTCTTGAACACAAAGTTAACATTTTATGGAGAACATGTAGAGGTCGTGCAAAATACGAGAATTCCTAGCAACGTAACACATAAAATACACAAGAGAAAAAATGAACAATGAAATAAATCTATTTATTCTAGTCAATAAGAATAGATTAATTCAAACAATAAATTCATCATTGAAAAACACTCGAGTAATCAAACTCTTCAAAATGTGATATTAGCATTAATTTCTAAAGATAAACCGACTGTATATATCAAGACTTTTACTGGATTTTATTCGACAAAACTTCAAGCTGCCGAATAAATTTGTCTTCAGCTTCATTTTACAGATGCAATAAACATCTAATCTAACCAGACAAAAGTCAATGTGCTATTACAATGCCATCCTTCATAATTGAAGATCTTGAGTCTTCTACAATGTACATGCATACAAATTTTTTTAGTAAGATCTTCTATCTACAAGTAGAGATTCTTACTGCCCATTCTCTTATTTTTTGATTCTACAGTCCAGGAGAACACATTACGCAAAAATAATGCTTAGAAACTATTCATAAAGAACGTCAAAGTACAGATAGCATTTTTGATTTCTCCCTAATGCGCAATTTTATTAAAGACTCGACCAAAACTTATTTGGATTACAGTCGTATGAGTGATGAGATATGGATTTATTTTAGACATATTAGTAGTAAGTCATGTGATGCTAGCTGGATTAGTTAAAATAAATCAGCAAACACTATTGTTCATAAAGACAGATTTGAACTAAACTTTTGTTTTGTATATTTTTTAAAACCAAATGATCCTGTTTTTATATTGAAAATTCTCGAAAACCTCTTACGAATACAATATGGAAGCGAACATGGATATCAAATTCAAAATGTATAAAATTACTTAGCAATCATCATTGACTTTCTATTCATTCAGTGCACATAATCTTCGGTTAAATAATTCTATTGATCGAAGTTATACTAGCTAAACAAATGAAATATGGTGTGCCCATGTGGTTTCCAAGGTAACTCAGATTTTTTTCGAAAAACAGTTCAAAAATCTTTTAATACATTACTAAAAAGGAGTGAACCTTATCCTTTTATTTTTATTTAACAATACCAGAAACTTTGTTCAGCCTTAAGTATTTTTTTATGCATACAATTCAATGTATGGACATCAATGTCTTCTGTGTACACATTGTAATGTTCTATTCTACTGTCAATCGTCTTCAAACTATATTTTCTACGATACTAATCTTCTACGAATGAAACGAATAAGAATGTTATGAAGTTTCTTTTAAAAGATTTTTTTTTCGTGCAACTCGGAAATTGTCAACTTTTTTTATGTTTTACTAAAGCTATTCATTAATAATAGACGATTTCGATCAATTTTGACAGTAAACAAGACACTCGACACGACTAAAAGTATTATCGATATGTTCTATGCATCATACTCAGTAATAGTTTTTTCTCCGTTGGACGAATTAAATCATTGATAAATCTCTCTACTAATGAGAATTGTATATGTGTTACGTTGAAACACAAGATAATACATAATTCATGACTACGACATGTACATTAAAATGCGCTCTCTTAATTTTACATAATATATTTTAATTGTTGGAAAACGAGTCGAGAATACAAAATCGAATATGAACTGCGTGTACTGCCTGTATCGAGAGGTACGTAGTAGGGCTCAAAACGGATCGCCTGGTTCGACCTGCCTATCGTATATTCCTCTTCTACACACTTTGTTCTATAGCACAAAGTTGACCTTAATTAACATGTAATAATGATTAAAAGAAAAATGTCTCGAAAATAAACTATCATCGAGAGAAGATGCTGTAAATATCGCCTTATCTTATTCTTTAACTTTGATTAACAAGTGAATTCCTGAGAATCATACTAGAGGCCGTCGCGGAGCAATTTTGTATGCCCTAGTTTATTTCGTCCTTACATCGGACTAGGGCATATAAACAGAGTTCTACTTCAGATTCGGTCCTAAATTAATAAAAAAAAGCTTTGTTCATATTTATAATCAGTGTTTTACGTTATTTCAGTATTTATTATCCATACACAAGAATAATAACAAATCCTACTAAAAATAGATTTAAACTGTACAATTTATAATCTATGATAATTTGATTTTAAACAAATATTTTGCTTCCTCTTATTTTTTCAATTTTTCAAATTTTCTTTTCGATTGAAAGTAGTTGATAAACCCTTTTTCAAATATTAGAATAAATTTAAAATAATATACTTGACAATAAAAACGATCAAACTTGCGTCAAATAAAAATTAGATTACAATTGAGTGAAACTTTTGTCATTTGAATTTATTTTTGATGAAGATATAAAACTGTTAATTTATTAATTTGTCTGTCAGCATGACTGCAACATACTATTAGCATATTCATACAAAACAAATATATACGCTACTGAAAACAACAATCCTTTTGCGACTAAATACAACTGTTTAACTGATTCAAAAAATTTCACTTTCTATTTAGCAGTAGATTGTGATTCATGTTCTTTTATTCTTTGTTTAACTTTCTCATGATTTGGTACGAACTTCCCAATATCTTCGACAAATAAAATCACTACTGGGGCGTACGGATAATATTTCTATTCAGTCTTATCCGCGCTTTCACATCCACATCCACACCCAATCATTTCATTTACTCATTCTGAAACACTGATCCAACTGATGTTCATCTGATCTAACTTGTATTATCAGTGATATCTTGAACTGAATGAGTGATTCTTTTTAGACGATATTAGCTATTTCTCAACTCTATTGAATAAGGTCTTTATCCATAGTGAATGAGCTAGTTTTTCCATAAATAAAATTTACTAATATTGAATCGTGATCTAAATGGTTAAAATCTTTCATAGGATGATTGCTTAACGCACCATAACTTAAATTTTTCTGCTCTCATGTTTGAAAAATCCAGCACAATTGTTGTCTCTAGGTTTCGTACTATTAATGATCTTTGAGGTTTAAAATCATTGACACCATTGTATTGAAAATTAAATCCAATAGAACTCAGATGACAAAAGTTCGTAAATTACGGTACAGTTACTTTGTTTTGTGTAAGATTATGTTCAAACAACGATCAGGCATACGCAGCCGTAACATAATATCTAAGTTCAATTTACAATCGTGCTATCTTGCTGTTTGATATTGGCATGATCCTCGATTCTTTTTTTTAAATTTCTTCTATTAACAGTATTTAGCATCTAATTTCAATGCTGCTTTGTACGATCTTTCATTGTTTCAATGTTACTCATTATGTTTTCTTTCTGACGACATGTGAATAAGAGAAAAATCTTTGCTTTTCTTCTTCCTCTTTTTTTGTTCTCCTTTCGTAGCTCGTAAAGAGTAACACAGTATCGGTATGACAAGACGACTGATTTTTTCATCTCTCACTTTCGTTTATTGCGAAGCATGAGTATTTCTCTCCACGAAAATATTTTGTCGACTGAGTAAGTATTGCAATTCACGACATTAATATTTTTTAGTGAGAAGAAATTGAAATTAAACAACATTAATTGAGTGATCTTCAATGAGAAGTATTGAATTTCGGGTCAATATTCGGATTCAATAGTCCTTTTCACAGCAAGCTTGACACATCACGACTATGGTTATATTTGATCAATGTGCTTGCACTATTCGAATTAAAATTTCACAATATTTAACTTGAAACGTGCAAGTAGTATCAAAATTTTCTCATGAGAGATTTAGCATATGTTAACTGAGATTGTTTCCTTCTTAGGATACAATCATATTTTTTTCATAAATCGTTCTTGTGACAAATTCAAAGAAAGTTTTCTAAATAATAAAATGCTAGTAGGGTTTTAGAAAATATCGTAAAAAATCTTCAAGATTTTTCAACTACACAAGTATTGAGTGATAGATCAAATGAAGGCCTATTTGATCTCATTTCTTTCAAAGATCTACTGTTCTTTATCGTTGATCCTGTTCTCCGATTACTGTTGCTAAAAACCAATCTGATCAGTTTTTTTCATCTTCAATTTTGTTACTGTTCATTTGTCAACACAGCAATACGCTTGACAAACGATAACACATCCATAATTATACTTATATTGTCTTTATTTTGTAATGCTCAAGGACAGTCCAAAAGTCTCGATTTCTCTCTGTAAATCAACGATATCTACACAAACACTTATATATGCCGTATCGAAGTTACTTCAATGGTACTAAATACTAAATGAATACTAGTTAATTCAAGATATATTAAACATGATGTAAAGTATTGATAAAGCTTTTACAATGTATCTTGATTCAAGATCTGTCTGATTTTTTTATCGTGACTTGCTGTTTTCATTTTGGCATAAAATTCATGACTAAGGATTAAGATAAGAGAAGCGTCTAGCTGCAAGAAAAAACTAGCTCAGCATGCAGAATATGTACATTCTAAGCTTTGTTTTTCTTCTAGTGCAGTCAAAATATGTAATATGCTACAACAGGAAGATCCGACTTTTTCAATGTAACCAACAGATTTTCAAGTATAGAACTTTGTAATATCTCATCCTGAGTGTTCCAAGATCACAAATTTATCTACTATTCTTCGTTTGATATTTATCTGATACGTTCCTCCTTGAGACTATTCTCACCAATAAAATTTATATTCAACTAACACATAGATAATACTGAAGCTGTTCATGAAAAGATCCAGTCATGTGAAGTTTTTGTTTGATTTAGTATAAGCTTGACCCTGTTAAACGTTTGAACCATTCTTATACGTAGTAATTTTCTTATTACTAGAAAGTATTGTTTAAATTGACTATTATTTAAAAAAAAACGATGAAAATATGTTTCAAATGGAAAATGAACTTAATTTTACATAATGCTTTTAATATCTTAAATTTACTTATATTTATTTAGTATTTAGCTCAATTGAAGTAACTTCAATACGGCATACAGATAATTCATCCAGATATATCGTTTTGTAGAGGAAGATTAAAACTATCATCTGAATAATAGATACTTCGAAATGCATCAACATCATGATTAAACATTTTACACCTTGAATTTTTTGAAAAAACTAAAAGACTAATAAAAATTTCATGTATCAAATATTAACGAGAGCAAATTGAACTTGCAATAGCTTTAGATGATTAACTGTTCCGTTTATTCATGAAGGTCGAAAGCATTACTTGTAGTGTCAGCATAGACCGTTGCATCTTGAAATATTATTTAACAGTCAATCAACTAAAGTTATTGTAAATTAAGCGTATTATCTCTTTTGATATTCATATTATTGTGTGAATGTGTCGAACTCTATCTAACCATATAAAAATATCTATTAAAAACATGTCAAAAATAATATTTCGCTCGGCTTTAATGGTCGAGGTATTTAAGACTTTTGTTATTTCAAAAAACATTTAAGATTTAAAATACGTAATCAGTATGAATAAAATGATCATAACTACGACACAATTTGAACTAGTGTTTTGCAGATGATAATCCTGATTATTTTCTCCAGAACTGTATTTGTCAATGAGTTGTCTATATAAATATTTGTATAGGTATTGTCGATCAGAAAAAGAAGGGTTCGAAACTTTTGGACCAGTCTTTGGTATATGCAATTGATAAAACCAAAAGCTGAATTACTATATCTCTAAGTATCATATATTAGAGATTGAATGAAATGATTGCATATGTATTATTGTAGAAAGTTAGCTGATCTCTAATAATAGCTTTTATGGAAATGAAAGATTCGTCATTTCTAGCCATTCGATATATCTTGATTCGATGAATTATTTGTATAGTATTTTCATAGGTGAAAACACACTCTAAAATGACGACTTTTAATTACGTGATCGTCGGAGCTGGACCAGCTGGCTTGTCGGCTTGTTACGGATTGCATGTACACCATGAAAATAACTACTTGTTGATTGATAGTGGTGATAGTCTATCGAAACGTGTACAATCCAACGATAGAACTCATATTGGAGGTATAGGTGGAGCCGGACTCTTCTCTGATGGCCATTTGATGTTTTATCCAGCCTGCAATAGATTATGGTTGCTTGATCAAGAATGCTTAAAAATAAGCTACAATCAATTAACAGAAATATTGCAAGACATTCTCAACATACCAGCTTTTCCATATGATCTCAATGTCAAATCTGCCAGTCAAGTAACGACCTTTAGCAATACTTCGGGCTGCCGCACCGACATGATATTGAATAATGCAACATCATGTAGAGCTTGTTCCAAGAACACTCAAAACAGCAATGAACAAAGTCCCGTGATTGTTGAAAAGCAAAAACAACAGGAGCAATCCGCTTTCCGTTTAATACTCGAGCAGCGTTCCGCCCTCTTTGCTTCAATTCTACAGGTTATTAAACCGAATCAGCTATCGCTGAACACTAAACTATATCGAATCGAATCGGCAGCAGATAATACTTACATTTTACACTGTAAGAAAAATGGTGATGATATCGAACTGCGTTGTAAAAACCTTATTCTCAGTGGTGGTCGATTTTTCCCAATCGTTTCTCAATCGTTTCCGATGGTAAAACATATTTTTCAGCAAGTGGAACTTGGCATACGTATCTGTGGTCCAGCAAACAGTAGTTTATTTTCTTCTACAACAGAAGCAAATTCGAAGATTATCTCAACAGGCAATACCAATCTAGAATATCGAACATTTTTCTGGTGTCGTAATGGAAAATGTGCATGGGCCGAACAAGACGGGATAGCTGCCTATTACGGTTGTTCTGAATGCTTACCAACATCGGAAAGTAACTTTGGCTTCAATGTATGTTTCAAGAGCGATGATGCTCAAAATTTTTTAGAAAAAGTTAAGGGTATACATCCATTCGAACTATCGCTTTCTGAGTTGGACAAGCTACATGACGTATATGGTGATGTAGGTACTCATATTGCTACAGGCATTGAATTCTTTCTCGCAAACGTCAGTAAAGACACAAATTTAGATCGACGAATGTTTATACTTAAAGGACCAACAGTAGAAGCCGTCGGAAACTATCCATTACTGGATCAACATTTGAAAGTACCTGGAGAAAATATTTGGTATGCAGGGGACGCGACTGGTTTATTCATTGGAATAATACCTTCGATGCTAAGTGGTCTTTTTGTTGTGAATCGAGCAAAAAACTATGCCTAAATCAGTGACTGAACACGCTTATTATATAAGACAAACAACACTATAGTTTGTTTGACCTACTTAGTTACGACAAATGACCGTATCATATAGATAAATTATATTTTGGGTGTGGGATGTGGCTATGAATGTGAGCAAAAAGCATACTAAGACTCACACGTACATCCTCTCGTTAATACCATTTGAAATAACACAGAAATCTTCATTTTCTCTTCATTTTGCTCATATGTATCTTCTCTTCTACGTATAGGCTCTCAAGGGCTTACGCATCTTCTACCACCACCAAAGCAATATTTCATCATGGAATATTGTAAGATTACCAGAAAAAGACAATCGGTTAGAATATATGAATAACTTTAGCTATGACCAATTAGTATAAAAACAAGTTCAAATCAGTACTTTCGAGTGTTCCTTTTCAAAAATAGACTTCTGTGGACGACAGTATTTAAAACTTATTGTTAAATTGAATTTTTTTCATATAATAAGGCAGAGCTTCGACTATCAACACGTTCAATTGTCTTTGTTACGATAGAATTTATCAGCACACAACATTACAAAATAATTTAATAGAAAATATATGAAAAAATTGAAATAAACTGAAGAAACCTTGAAATCCATGGATTGAATTATTATGAAAATAATCAACATCGAACCTTACAATAGTAGTCGATGAATGTCTTGAGGAAGAGCTGGCAAAACGATAGACAATGTGTTTTCTATTCTGATCGATTGGACTAAATTGACATATTAATCGGAAATATTTAAAATGAACAAAACAAATTTCAATAAGTAAAAATTTCAACTATTAGTATTTTCAAAGATGCGCGGGTTCAGATAACAGTCTTAATTCAATCTTCAAATATTTCGACCAATGCTGCAAACGAGACGATCGCGCTCAACTATAGACGTGATAAGCATCAAACAGCAAAAACCTCAGAACGTCACATTCGAACGACTCGTTCTTTCACTTTCTCTCACTCGAATGTAGAACAACCAATTATCTTTGAATGAAAAAGAAAACATACTGACTAATAAATGGTTATTTAAATCAAAGTAAACAAAAAGAGTTTTTTGTTTCTTCATTAAACACCAAGCATTGTCTTCTATTTACTTTAACATTAAATAGTAGTTCATATATTCTTCAATCAACTTGAATAACTGATTTACTTATTATTTAATTTAAGTTTTAATGTACAAAATGAAGAAGTCTGAGTTTGAAAGGTATCAACAGAATTTTTAAGAGTCGTAAACAGTTTCAAGCCTTTCATGAAGCTTGCATTAGCACATTGAATATATGATGGAGCTATTTAAATATCGTTCTGTGTAATGAATTTCTGAAAAGTCTGCTAAATACGGTAATGAGTAGGATCTTTGAAATATTAATACTCGGGACACCATGTCTTCAATTATGGCTTTAATCATAGCTCATCATTTTCTAGTTTAATGACAAATACAATTCCAAAAAAGACAGAATTTTCATATAATTTGAAACATAAAAAGACTTTGAAAACCTTATTACTGTGGAATGTGATTCTTCTCTTTCTCAGAACCCTCATCTTAATTTGTCCACTCTTTATCACGATTTGATATCATAGTTTTGAAAGAAGCGTCTCGAAAACACAAATAATCGTAAAATAAAAAGTAAAGAAAAGAATTAATCTTTCCTTATTTTTGTAGTATTGTCGGAATCATCAACATGATGACTGATTGATTTGGCGATGGGGCATACATAAATATCTTCACTCTCTTCAACAGAATCGTGCAAAATCAAACAGTACGTTTGAATAGGATCAAAAAAACGATGTGATGAAAAATTGCATCAATTTGTCATCGATCGTATGGTTGACAATACTTGTCTAAACTGTTCTAAAAACAAGCAATGCCAAACTGAAAATGAAAATTAGGCAAATCTATTGGCTTGAGAATCTGTCGAAGAATATTATTCATTTCAGAGATCATGGAATTGATCATTTCTATAGTGAACGGTTTCGGTCTACTCATTTCGAAAAAAAAAAGATGTCTATCTTTATTATTCATTCATCTATCCATAGTTTTATCGGTGGATAACAACTCGAACTAGGGAGGTGATGAGACATCTTTTCTTTCTCGAGACATCGTTTGATTGTAAGATCAACTAACAGAAACAAGTTGTTCGAAGAGATGTAGTTTGTTACTGCGTTCCCTCTCCGCCGTGGTCGAGAAACTCGAAGAATGAGTAAGCAAATTTCGTTTGATCGTAGTCTTAATAATTCTTAATTCCAGAAATTCTACTCGGATATTGCTATTCAATATAATCTTTTATAATGATTTCGATGAAATCTTGCGATTGCAACAAATGAAGAGTATTCTATGAGTAGTGCGGTTGAATGGAAGATATTTTATCATTTGGTTTTGCTAAAGGAATCAAGCACGGGCGCTCAACCTTCTGTGTAAAATAATCCACTCGAAGAGACAATGTGTCTCTCTCTGATGTCATCTCTGTCCATGTGCAATGATAGAGTCTCGACCAGAGACTTCCTTCTTGTTGATGAAGAAAAATTCTGTGACAGGTAAGTATGATCTTTTATTTTTTTGCACTTTGTGTCCGCTGTTCCATGCTATTTCTGTGATTATGTACGAAAAATATTTGAGAAAAGATGCTTTTAGATTTTTTTTCGGATGGCGAAAACCTTTACTTGAAAAGTCTACTCAGGGCATATCAAAAGTAGAGGCAGTGACACTTGAATACCGTATAGTAGACTTAAAGAAACTTTCTCTCTACATAGCCTGATGGAGAAAGAAAGGGTTTTGGGTGTGGGTGTGAGTGTGGATGTGGGTGTGGGTATGGGTGTGGGTGTGTGGGTGTGGGTGTGGGTGTGGGTGTGGGTGTAGGGTATGGGTGTAGGGTATGGGTATGGGAGTGCGTGTGGGTGAAGAGTAGGCGAATGCCCACACCCACACCCACACCCACACCCACACCCCACACCCAC